AACAATCTAATGATGTGAAGAACTAAATCTCATTATTCTTATTTGACTAAGACACTATCTTTCCAATTTTAATTAAAAATATCCCTGGAGCATTCATAGATCTGGGTGAGTTTTTTGATGGTTGGACTTGAATGGAAAAGGGCTAGAAATATAAGACCTCCTCACATAGACTTTCTTCGTCAATATTTGTTGTATTTTTGGCAGTGTATACTTGGGCAAGTCCTGGAACAACAAGTACTTCTCTGAAATGCTAACCATATCAGAGGAATGATGGGCCACTAAAAAAAAAAATTCCTTCCATCAAATCGGGCTAGACTCTTAACCTTAACCCCTTGCAAACTGGGTAGAGAAGTTCAATTTATTAATATTTCAAGTGGTTTATCTTCCTTGTAAAGTACTCTGTACCCTGCAAATACATTTTTGCTCTAAATCACTTTTATGAAATGAATCATTTAAAAATCTATTAAATTAAAACAAAAAATTCATAGACTATTAACCAAAAATGCAAAAATTCTTGGTAATATATAGAAAATATCTAAGGAGATACCACCTGTTTATAGTATTGTATTTTATGGTTTCAGTGTCTGTGACTCGTTAGCTCTGCTGTTTAGGCTTTTTGGGTTCACTGATATGTTTGATCCCCAATTAGGATTGGTAATTTGAATCTGTTTCATAGTCACAGATAACAGTAACAATATCTGGTCAATTCATAATATAAACCATTTGTCAAGAAGGAATTTCAGCAAAAATGGAAAGACAAGTGAAACCAGTAGCAGAGCTTGTGGCATTTTTACTAAAAGTACATCCTAAATTGGGCATTGTTGTGCAAGTGCAGTTGCCGTTTCAACTGGCATTTGAGCAATACTTCCTGCTCAGGCCTTTCATTCCTACCACACATGAGGATAGTATGCAGAGGTATGTTATTTTAAATTTTACTATGCTATTTCCTTCTGGAAAATAAACGTTTCTTGTCTTTGTTACTTCAGCCTTTTTTCTTCTTCTTGACTCAGTAAGACTCTCCTCTGATGTTTATTCTCATTATTTTAGAGCTAAGGAGAACTTTGGAAATGGCCTAAGCCAGTGTCCCCCTTTTGTGACTGATGAGCCCAGGACCAGACAGAATAATGGCTTGCCTGTGTCATAGAGCTGGCTAAACAGGAACTAGAGTCTAGGTTTCTGAATTTATAATTAGGGCGCTGTAGTTGGACTTCATAGAGGCTAAGGGCTTAAACACATAACTCCCAAAATATGTGCCTATTTTGGGAGTTATGTGTTTAAGCCCTTAGTCTCTTAGGTGCTTTGGGTATCATTGCCAACTCACAGGGTTGCTGTCTGCAGGGTATTTACAAATTTCCAGGGAAAAACAGCAACATCTGTCAAATATTGTATAAACTCCTACCTCTAGACAGTTCCCTTTTAAATAATATTTGGTTGCACTATATTTCTTTCCATAGTGGCATATTTTCGCAAAGTCGAGGATTTGGTGGGTACAAATCATTGTGGGAGAGGAAATGAGGTTTGTAATGTTTAATAGGTTTGTAATGTTTAACCTCTATGGTATGAGAGGTGGGTAGGGTCCACCCACATCCCATTAGTAAATAGTAGGAGTGATTTAAGAATAGAATAAAAATATTATTTTTTCTTGAAATTATTATTTGTTGTATTTTGTCAAATGGTGCTAAATTGCTAAGTCAAAGGTAGTTATTAGTTTTTTTTGTACCAAACCACTTAATCAATGGAACTCTAAGGAATTTCTCCTGCCCTGGGGCACTGTGCAGAAATTACTGAGATGCTCTGATTTGAAAAGTTTGGGAACTTCTGACTTCCTGGGTAAAGCCTCATACAAAAGGAAAGAGAAAGGAGGAATAAAAGCAGATAGAATTAGGCGTATTCAGTCACGAATGGAAATGGAGCAACACTCCCAAGATTATTCCATCTCTGCCTAGCTGGCACAATAGCTGCAACAGCAGATTGAAAAGTTGCCACCTGCCCAGTATTTGAGGAAGATAAATTATCAGGCTTCTGCTTCCAACACCTTTTTATCTTAAGAACTTTTATGGGGATTGTTGGCTGTTGGTCACATGCTCTCCCACTTAGGTTTCAGGCCCTATTATTAGATTCTGGGCAGTGTGGTTTGAGGGGATAGTTATGATGAAGACAATATCAGGACACTCAGAGGTGAACTTGGAGCTGCAGAGGACACTACTACTCCTTACTCACCTTTCTTAGATCTGCCTTTATTTTTCCTTTCTGAGTAATTCTGAGTAATTTTTTCCCATGGAATCAATTCTCGAAAAACTGTGAGCCAATTCTTTTTAGGATTTTTATTGTCTCACTAGTTTGTAGATCCTCCCAAGAACATGGTGGAGTGAACATTAAAAAATATGTATAGGAGGAGTAAATATATTTTTAGTATGTTATAATTTGATATTAAAAATTTTAGAAACTGGAGTAGGAAAATAAGTCCAATATTTCTTCCACACAGGTACTCTGAAAATTTTGAGGCCTAGGTAAGCCTGGCCTTTTGTCCCTAAGAATCTCTTCTCTGCCAGGTGAGGTGGCTCATGCCTGTAATCCCTGCATTTTGGGAGACCAAGGCAGGTAGATTGCATGAGCTCAGGAGTTCGAAACCAGCCAGGCCAGCATGGTAAAATTCCATTTGTACTAAAAATGCAAAAAAATTAGCTGAATATGGTGGCGCGTGCCTTTAGTCCCAGCTACTTGAGGGGCTGAGGCAGGAGGATTGCTCGAGTCTGGAAGGTTGAGGCTGCAGTGAGCCAAGATCTTGCCATTGTACTTGAGCATGGGTGACAAAGTGAGACCCTGTCTCAAAAAAAGGAAAACTTTTATATCATTGCAAATGCATAGTGTTTATTCATAGTGGGTATTCAGTTTGTATTTTATTTTTTCTCCCACTTCTGGGAGATGTGCAGTGTAGCGACTTAGATGACTTAGATCCAAGCTTTCAGACAAATGAGGTTCTTGTCGCAACAGTGAGACCAAGGGCAAAGAGCTTAAATTCTGAATCTCAGTTCTATACCTAAAAAATACAGATAAGAATACCTACTTCATAGGCCCAGTGAGGTTTATATAAAATATGTGTAAAGTGTTTATTATAGTGTCTAGCACATATTAGGGACCAGTAAACAGTACTTGTTAATATAAACATTTCCCCTTTGACACATAGTCTTTGTGACCATATTTTAATAACTTCATGATAGTGTGTCATTTGTATATTTGCGTCACCATTCTTCTAATTCTGGATTCTTAGGTACCTCTAAATTTGCACTAGAATTTAAAACAGTCTTTAGTCATTCATCAGATTTACTAAATTCACACTATGTACAAGGACCTTGACTTGCTGTTGACACAGGGTTCACAATGACACTGTCCCTGGCCTTGAGGTGCTCACAGTCTGAAGAAGAGATGTGTACAAATAACTGTGTCCTGTGATAAACACCATCAGTGTCTAACTTACTGAGAAAGTGCAGAGGAGAGAACAAAATTGTCAGACTCCGCCTAGTGAGCTCAGGGAAGTCAGGAGGGTGTTATAGGAGATGAGTGAGTTAATGTGGGTGGGGTCAAGTTATCAAGGGCTTTTTAAGGCATCATACAGATTGGGATGTTTATTCCCATTGAAATGAGAAAGCCAATTTTATGAAAAAAATTGACCTTATCTGTGTGGTATTTTAGCCGGTAGGGTACAAGATGGAGGCAGGGAGTCTAATTAGAAAGTTAAGGCATCCAGGTGAGAGATGGTGTGGCCTACACCAAGGGGGAATGATGGAGATGTAAGAAGTGGCTGGATTTGAAGAAATACCCAGGGCAAGAGGAGACAGTTGGATATAAAATGTCAGAGAGGAGTCAAGGATGGCCTCCCAGGCTGAGTGATTGGAAGGATAGAGTTGCCATTTCCAAAAACAAGGAAGGATACAGGAGGACCAGATTTGAAGATTAAATGGAGAATTGGGTTTTGGAATGTTGTATCTGAGATGCTTATTAAACACCCAAGTCAAGGATGTTCAATAGGTAGTCAGATGTAAGAGTGTGGAATTCATAGGGAAAGAGGTTTGTCCTGGAGTCATATATTTGGGAAGTATTAATGTATTCATGGTATTTATAAGATGTTTTACAAACATGATACAGTTACTTCACCCATCGTTATTACTATTACTCCTCATGTAGAGTTGTCTTTCATCTTTTCATCTATTTTTTAAAAATTTAAATAAACTGTAGAGTCACTTTGTTAAATTGATTTTTTTAAAGTATGCTGGAAATTTTACTAGGAGACTATTTGGTAAACTCTGAAGGCTTGGCATCTATAAAATGTATGTCTTATTCTTCAACATATTATATCTCTGTTAGCTTTCCTTTATTTCTCTCACAGTTCATTTTTCCCTTCCAAATAGTTCACATACATTTCTATATAATATTACTTCTATACTTTTTGTTGCCATTATAAATCCAGTCTTGCTGGTATTCTGATAGTTTTGCTCTTATAAAGGCATTATATGGCTATATTTGTATATGGTTACCTCACTAAACTTTTAGTACTATAAATAATATCCTACTTGATTCTTTTAATTTAATTTTTTTTTGAGGGTAGGTAGGCATCTATAAAATGGATCTTTTTATTTAGGAGGAATAGAATCGTATCATCTGCTAGTAATAATTTTTGTCTTTTTCCTTTTGGTATTTGTGTCTCATTTCTGCTTTGTGCCAAGAAAAGAAATTTGAAATTAAGATACGGAGTTATTATAGAGTAAGGCGGTAATTAATACTAAAAGTCTAGTCACAATATACAGTTTTTGTTTCATTTTCTTTTTTGGCTTATCCTAATTTTCTTGCCATTTATGTTTTATTCTTTTTTTATTTTTTGGAGACAGGGTGTCTCTGTCGCCAAGGCTGAAATACAGTGATGCAGTCATGGCTCACCAGAGACTTGACCTCCTGGGCCCAAGCGATCCTCCCACCTCAACCTTCTGAGTAGCTGGGACTACAGGTGCACACCATCACACCTGGCTAATTTTTTAAAAAAATGTCTGTGGAGACCAGGTCTCACTATGTTGCTCAGGCTGGTTCTGATGATGGACGTTTTGAGTGCCTATAGTTTATATGTTCTAGATTTATAGCTTACCTCTAACAGTTGGTTTGGTGTGGTATATTTGGTTTTCAGTCAATTTGATCTTCCAGTGACTTAATCTCTGATTCCTTCATGAGGACCAGGCGTGGGCAATTGTTCCTGCAGAATCAGTATTTAACCTTCATATGCTGAAACAGATTCAACACAGTAGATAGTATAAAACTAGGATGTTTTAATCCTATAATTGGGTAAAACTCTGGATGAAAATTTAATTTTTTTTCTTTATTTTTTTTTTAGATGAAAATTTTATGTCCAGCACCACCTGTCCTCACAAAATTCAATTAACGCACTAAAAATGAATGTATGTTTGCCCAGAAATTAATTTATAACACAGTTGATTTTTGAAAACTTTATTTTTAAACTAAGATTTTTTTTTCAAATTTGAATATTAGATCTGTTTTAAAAAATCCCCATAAAAGCAGTTTCAGTTCTTATGTGGATTGCAAATCATGAAACAACTTGCTGATGAAGCTTAGATTTCTGGAATGCTTTATTTTTAAAGTTAACTTTGAAGTTTTATTTTCTGTTTGTCACGTCCAGCCTCTTGTGACCTTTCTCCCTGAATGAACAGAGTTAGCTCTCTGAAATGTCAGGAGTTTGTAACACCAAGGGTAAATTTGCTGGAAAGCTTTTAGTTGGGCTGCATTGCCTTGTTTAAATAGCCGAACACCTGCTAGGCAAGCCCTGCACATGTGAGTGGCTATATATGTTCCTTCCTTTAGGATTTGCAAGGCTGGAGCACAAAGACAGCGATTGTTACCCAATAAGCAGTAGTCACACACTTCTACCAATCGCCTTAGGAGGGCTGGTTACCATGGAATCCACCATCTGTTCACTCCCCACCGGAATGTGATTATCATTGTGGGCTTGGAACTGGGGAAAGCAGGGGAGCCTGTGCTGGGTGAAATTATCTGCAATGGACTGGGTTAATGGGAAGCTTGCTTTGGCTCACTGGAAGAATAAATGAAGGGAGTTTTACTTCAACCATTTGCAAATTCTGGCCAAGAGGAATAAATTTAGCTTTTATAAGGTAAGTAACTCTGGCAATATGTATCCAGTTTGTAGTCCGTTCGTGTGGGGGCATTATCTCCATGTGGTCCGAGGAAAGGGAGCTCTAAGCTCTTTTGAAAGAAATCTCCAGCGTTACACACTTTTCTTGTCTTGATTTTATGCAGTTCAATAATGCCTGTACAATTACATGTTGGTTTTGGAAAATGAAAAAAAAATTTAATCTTTTAAACTGTTTTCTGCTTGTGAAATTGTTTTGTGACTCCTGAAAGTGGCAAAAGGACAGTCATTTTTAATGGTTTTTCAGAATGAATTACACTGGTATTCTTTCTGAAATACGCCCATGGCCCCAACGTGTTCAATGCCTGTTCTTATTATTTGGAAAAAAAAAAAAAAAAAAAAAAAAAATCTCGGGTCAGGGACGTTTGTAGGTTATGATTTAATTAATGATTATTCTGACCCACATGATTGACCCATCATTACTAGCTGATGTTTTCAAATGTGATGTTTATGCAGTTTTATTTTGCAATGCTTAGGCACAAGTTTCAAGGGCCTGAGCATGTGGAAACAATGTGGCAGTGCTTTAAGGCATGCATGCAGGCACCGTGGTAAAGGAAGGGCAAGATGAGGAAGATCAGCTTCTATTTCAAGGGCTTCCTTTGTTTTTCTATTTCCACAGCCCCTTAAAATGTGTGTTGCATATTGTGAGCAGTAGAAGGAGATTTGGGTCCTAACAAACGGATGACTGACATTTTTCTGTGTGGCTAAGAGGTTGGTAGCTCAAACAAGGGACTTCTATGTCCTTTGTAAGGCAGCATTGTATCCCCTTCCCCAAAACTGTGCCCCAAAATATAAATGTGAAAAAACAAAAAGAGTGCTGTCTATACTCTGGATACTTCTTTTGTGTAAGTTTTTTTTTATCATTGAAACCATAGGGCCAGTGCTCTGTGAGTTTAACTGGGTCTGCCATTTTTATTTGATAGAGGAGAGGTTGCAAGGAAAGACTTGACTCCTGCAGGTTTAGTCCTTCTAATTGTGCTGTGCTGCTGTCATCTTGGACATTCATGCCAGTGGCTGCCCCGAGAGTTGGAAAACGTTATTGCTAATAGGCTCTAATTGTTTCATTTTCTTTTTTAAATGACAGTACAAAATTAGATAACCTCATATTAGCCAAGGACTCATGTTCTTACTTCAAGAACAGGTTTTTAGGCCTGACTGTTAGTTATGAGTTCTTGGTATTAATTGTAGTTGACTTTAAAATTCCTACCCTCTTTTGTGCTTACTGGTCTTTATACATCATTATTATTACTTTTTAAAAGTTTTCTTCTTAATGTACAAAATTAGTTTAGCTACATAGTAGTTCTAAGAAGCATCTTTTAGTAATAGTAGATATATGTCTGCCTTAAAATTTCCTTAGCATAATCTAAAAATTTTTAAGCCAATATAATAGTATTGGGATAATTTTTTTCACCCATAAATGTCAGTCTTTCATAAGCAATATAAGGTTTGGGAGGAAAGTAGGTAATTTGAAAGCATTATGTATGATTAGGTGTTCATGTTGCTTTAATTACCATTATCTTAGAATCCAGAAAAAGGCTGTGAGTGAATGGGTGTGAAGTGTGTGGTATCCATGTGCTTGGGATGTGGTTACTTAGAGCAATTGAGGTGGGCAAGATAAATCTGTACACTTGTTAAGTTTCTAGTGTTGGTGAATTTACTTACTCTTTTTGTTGTTGAGGCAAAGTTTTAAGATTGTATTTTTAATTGGTTGTTAATGTTAAAATATATCTCAGCACTTTGAGCGTTGGCATGCACATATGTATTTTCATGTGTAAGTATATTAGTAACCTTCTTGACCAAGTTTCCAGAGTAATAAGTAATAAAACCACAGATTTTTCAAAATGTTTTTAAAAAGCTTTGTCAGTCCCCCACTAACAAGAAACTTAGTGGTTCTTGAGGGTAGCCCTTTACAGAAGTAGGTGAGGAGTGGGTAGCAGGGACAGTCCCTGGAGCATCTGTGATCCCAACCAGGGTACCTGCGGGACAGGAGTACACGGTCATATAACTGTCCTGTACTTGAAGGACCTGGTGAGATGTCCACCTCCATTCACAGCGCTGTCAGCAGTGAGCCCTGCCACCATGCACACAGCTTCATATAGTAAGGAATTTAGAATTTAGAATGTATTAAATTCTCGGGTCTACTGTGAACCACTGTTTTCTGATTTTCTCTATCCTTATTTGTGAGAGTGAAGACAGGTGCTAGATTTCTGAGAAGTCTGTCTTCTTCCAGTTTTTCCATCTGTATGAGGTCTTGATGCTTTTCAATTCTTCAGTACAACTTAAGACTTTACTACATGAGGAGATTACATTTATGTTTGTAAATATGTAAAACTAACCTTATTTGGTTATTTCATGTAAAAGCGTTATGTAGATGACAATATGAAACTTTGACCAAAATGTTAGAGTGATTCAAATCCATGAACAGTGAGTTGACAGCAAATCAGCCACCACTAGTTCAGCACAGTCAAGTCTTTCTGCTCCTTCCTTTAACACATTATGCTGGACTGTTGCATGACCTAACGCATTCAGACATGTAGACTGTAAACCTAATTAATGGCGATTAAATTTCTTAGTTTTTCTTACTATGTTTTCTGGACACATTCATTCTGCCTAGCCTAAATTGAGTCCTTCAGTTTCTTTGCTTTCGAGGTACAGATTTATAATGCATTTAAGTATTTTTGGCCCTTGTGGTCCATTTGGCCTTTGAGCTGTCTGAGATGATGGAGCACTAGGGATTTGAAGTGAAGGGGCACCTGCAGTTGCTGTCACTGCTAATGCTGCTATGCTCACATGTCCTTGGGGTTGGATCTGTTTGCATTTTTCATAATTTTAAGAAATAGATGTACTGAAAATTGCCCTCTTGCTTTCTCCTACAATTCCATATTACCATGGGTGCAAGAAATGCTTGGAATGAGTTAATCATATGCATCAGCACAATTTTGCATGTTTTGCAATTTTGCTGTGTTAAATGTACATTTACAGGATGGGGAGCCTATAAAGCATGCATGTGAACGATGTGAACTTATACAAAAGCTATAGCTCAAAGCTAGTTTCATTTGGCAGGATTTTTCTCTATATGTTTGCCAATTGATTTGCTTATCGGCAGCTGTTTCTTCTGAGTTGTCATCGTCTTCTGATTTTATAACTGCTCTTGAGCTTCTGTAAAATAAAAAGGCAAACTTTCCATAAATTGGCAATGAGTGGGTGTATGCAGGTTGATGTAGATTCTTTGAACAGCTTTGTTATGGCACTTAACCTTTTCTTGCTCAATTGCTGGCTCTTTAACCCCAGAAATAGCTTGATGGAGTGACATGAGGGTGACTAGCATACCTTATCCTTAGAACTAAGTTCCGTGTTTTACAAATAACCGCCACTCTGTAGGGCTAATTGTTCTTTTGTAACAAACCTGTTGAATTACTGACTTCCAGTGTAAGTAGTAGTTACTTCCTTTCTTTCCTTCCTTGTCTGGCTAAATCCTGTGTTCTTTTTTTATTTTTACCAATTTATTTGTCCTGAACTCAGATTAATGAAATTATGAGACACAGTATGTTCCCATAAGGCAAACAGACTGAATCTCTTTCATATTTTTAGATCCCTGTTATATATCGCTAGATGTTTATTTTCACATAATTTAAGGGTCCCAATCTAAACAGGATTGCCTGCTTTTTAAAACCCTCATTTTAGAGAAGAATATGAGGCCTATAAAGATTTAAGCAACTTTTCCAAGGTCAGGAAACCTGAGAGTTACAGAAACAACTAATGTTGGGTATTGCATGTTGAATGCAAAGACACAGGGCAAGGTCAGCTTACGATCCTACACTGTTGTCCTTAAGAGGAGCAGAACATTGAGATGTTACCCTAAAAGTCCACAGATGAAATTTTCAGTATGCCTAGATGAATACACCTTTGGAAAATGATTCTCTATAATCAAAGCCATAAGAAACAGTTTGTCTTTATCAATACCAACCTTTTAAAAAACATAACTGCCAAGACAATTGGATACTTATGTTTTTTAACTTACAAGCTTTTCTACCTTCTATCCCTAACTATATGTGAAGTAAAATGATCAGAGGGCTGCCTAGTCATTGTGGAGCCTAGAGCAATGGGGGAGGGAGCCTGAGGGATAACTGTGGTCCACTTTAGGACATATCTGTCTCTTGGGCAGCATACAACATTCCTGTTGTGGGTTAGTACAACTTTCTGTGGACCTTTCCACAGGTATACAGCCTGCACTTGCGTAGTTAATCTCCCTTTCCTCTGCTCCCTGCACCAACCCACAGGCACCTCCTTGCCCAGGACTACCCTGCCCCTTAAGGAGACATTCAGTATCTTCAGTGTTAACTTTTCATTCATTCATCAAATATTTCTTGCACATTTACTCTATGCCACTACTGTTGCAGGTGTGGAGGATATGGCACTAAGCACCATGGACAAGGTGTTAGTGAAATTTACCTAGTAGTGGGAAGAGACATAATACAAAAGTAAAGAGATAAGTAAACAACACAGTTTCAAATAGTTGCAAGTTTGTGATGACAAAATGAGCTGTATTAAAGGAGGGAGTTGAGGGTGGTGAACTTTAGATTGTGTAACCAGACGATGTTTATCTGGGGCAGTCCCACATAAGCTGAGACACAAATGATAAGGAGCCAGCCACGGGTAATCTGATACAGTGAAAGTGTGTTGCTGTTATCCCCAATTTTTGAAGTAGAAATAGAGGAAAGCTAATCATCAGGATCATATAAAAATCATATTGAGTGCTACAAAACCACACTGCATGTCATCTTTACTCTTCTTTTAGGACTTAGTCCTGAATATGTGTTCTTTTTCAAAGTCAGAATTTACTGGGAGAGCATGGGAAAGCATTTACCAGTAGTTAAGAGCAGCAGTTTCAAAGTTGAGCAGACCTGGGGCTAGTCTAGTCTCTCATGCTAGCTACCTCGATGTCTCTAGGCCAGTCACTAA